TCTGAGTCCCACATTACCTGAATTTCATCTCCAGTGATCATTTCCCATGAGCCATAGTGACCCTTCTCCTGCCGGAAGAATTGCACAGCTTCTAAAAAGGCTTGGGCTTCAAATGTCGTCTGCTTCATGTAATCTAAGGGAAACAGGAAGGGACACTTACCAAAATAAAATGCCCTATTTTGCATTTTTCCATGGTTCTTCAAGTGTAATGGTCCAGAGACCTAGCGTTACCTGAATATTAAAAGGCATGTATTTATTAGACACAGAAAAAGTTAAGCAAGTACTGACCAAAGTTCATTTGCAGGTGTACATCACATCACTTGCTCACAACACTAGCTGATTAATTCTATCAGTTACTGAGCATCCTGGATAATACTAGGAGCAGGACCACCTCCCTTTCTCTCTCTTGGAAATACTTCCCTGTCTACCTGCAGGCACCCAGCAACTTTATGCTACCAACCATAATACCTCAGTCATGTAGGCCATCCCTTAACAGTGATTCTTGTGTCCAAAGTATCCCCTCCTGGTTTTCCTGAACAAAACTCCAATTTTTTAGTGACCTGATATCAGCTTTCTCTCAAAATGGCATCAATGTAACATACTAATTTATGCAAACAGCAGTTAATAATTGCTAACACTGATACAGAAGGATACTGTTCATCTAAGCACTTTACATATTTCTTTGAAACCTGAAAAAAACCTCTGAGAAGAGTATTATTATCATCCTCATTTTACAGATGAGTACACTGAAGCACAGAAAGATGAATGAATTGCCCAAGGTCATATAGCTAGTGAGTGGCAGAGCCAGGGTGTGAACTCAGGCAGTCTGATTTCAGAGCCTACTTTAACCAAGGGTATGGGTTTACCCTTCCAAACATACTGGATTTTAAAAGATGTCATATCTGATGTCATCAAGAGGGTGGAATAGACAGTCCTCATTGTCAATCTCCCCACAATCAACAAATTTATAGCTACTAAAAAGCAAAGACTGCCAACCTAGGACAGTGGGAGCTCAAGGGAAGAGGAGAAACCTGTAGAGTTTATGAAGGCAGGAGAATCTGTGGCAAGAGGAACAAGACACCACTCAGATCATTTCAAGTCCCAGCTGCCTCAAGACCAGCCCAGTGAAAGGCAAGAAGAAGTTGCAGCACATGGAGCAGGAACCAGCAAAAGCCACAGCTGAGCCCTTTGCATGAAGTTGCCTGGAGTCTGCAGGGGAGAAGAGGGCCTTGAAGCACACCATACCAGCCACCAGCCCAGCAAGACCACTGACAGAGATCCCATGGACCCACATAGGAGCAAGGGGTCACAGCAGACCAAATAAAGAAACCACCCAGGGCCGGCCCGGTGGCGCACTGCTACAGTGCACCGCTTGGGAGCACGGTGGCGCTCCCGCCGAGGGTTCGGATCCCGCATACAGACCGGTTCCCGCTCACTGGCTGAGCGAGGTGCGGGCGCAGCACCGAGGGATGTGATCCCGTTGCCGGTCCCGGTCTGGTACGGGCGCAACACTGAGGGTTGCAATCCCGTTGCCGGTCCCAGTCTGGTACGGGCGCAACACTGAGGGTTGCGATCCGTTGCCGGACAC